TCATGGTCTAAACTGGGATTTAAACTCTGATTTCAAATATTATTTTGTTTAAATGAAGTTTAACCCTGCACTGACAAACACTAACAACTTAGACCTGCTATTGTCTATCAATATTTAGCTGTTTATTTTCTCTTATTCTTGCCTGCTGGGGTCAATTCAAGTTGTTTCTTGATTTGTACTTCTATGTGTTTCCTGCGTATCTGAATGATTTTAATGTACGTTTATATGTGATGTTTGAATCCATTTCTCATTTGACTAAAAAACACTCAAGTAAACTTTTGTGAAAATGTTTCTGTACAGCTCTAGAGCACATTAGTTGCAAATTATGCAACCCTTGTGGTGAGTTGTGTAAAGTTCAAATGCTGTCTATAGATACAAGTGTTACTTAATATTCTGTGATAAAATTCATAATTTTGCTAGTATTTTCCAGGTATTGTATCAGGTGCCATTCTTCAGCTGAGGGCTGAATTCCAGCTGGACTGCACTAATCAAGAAATGGTTGTTAGCTCCATGCTGATGGGAGCTGTGCTGGCTTCACTCACTGGAGGTGAGCACTCTGCAAGCTCAGTTCAACCATTGATACTCCATAGTCTCAAGCAGTGTTGCTCTGATTCTTGTAGTTTGTCTGCACCTATCTCATGATTTTACTTATTGTTTGTTCCACCAGGATTTATTGTAGATTTTATTGGGAGACGCCTAGCAATTGTCATCAATTCTGTAGTGTTCCTGGTTGGAGCCATAATGTTGGCATTGGCACCATCATTTGCAGTGCTGGTGTGTACCTTAACTTCATATTAGGTTTTCATTCTGATTTTCTGCTGATTGAAATCTGTTGCCTTCAAATAACTTCATTGCTAGTTTTACTAAGTGCGGTTGAAGATAAAAAAAAAAAGGTTATCAGTCAACACATAATTAAATTCTTTGCAGATTGTTGGCCGTTTCATCGTTGGTTTTGGGGTGTCCTTGTCTGCCATTGCGGAGTGCATTTACATCTCTGAGATAGCTCCGGCAGTAAGTTGCAGTCCAATGGCTGATATTGGTTAAGTGATACACAGTACTTGATGAATACTCGGGATCTTAAGTGTTGAGTTAACAAAAACTTTTACCAATTGCCATAACTTTGTTTTAATTTGGAATGTTATGATAATATGCCGGCACATAGATAGAATAATCCATTCAAATTTCTTTTCTCTATTCTGTACGTTGCCACACGTGTACCTGAAGCAGTAAGTAAAATTGTGTAAGTAAAATTGTGTAAAATTGTGTTAATCAAAAATTTACCATTCTTTACAGAAAAGGCGTGGCTTGCTGGTGTCACTCAATGAAGTTGGCATCTGTGTTGGTCTGTTGTTGGCTTACTCAGTTAATGTTCTCTTCATTGATTTATCAAATGGTTGGTAAGTTCAATAAAGAATCTCCCATATTCCTTTTGTTCAGCATTAGAGGGCAAATATGATTACAAAGTTTTTTACTTGACTGGAGATGGGAGGTACATGTATAGGAGGTGTCCGTCATTAAGGGTGTTCCTGTAATAGAGCCTCATCTGCATCTAGGATGGATATTTGTGAATGGCAGAGTAAATTCTTTAAGTGCTCATTCTGAAGTGTAATTTATTGCTATCTTGTTTGTTGAAGGCGCTACATGTTTGGGCTGTCAGCAATCCCGGCTTTCATTCAAGGCGTTGGCATGTTCTTTCTGCCACAAAGTCCCAGATGGCTCATAGCAAATGGACAAGATGACAAGGTACTGTCATACAGTGATGATGTTGTCTCAAACCCACTGAACAACTGCTTCCTTTTCACATTGCCCAGGAAGCAGGGTTGGTGCAGTGGTGAGAACACTCGCCTTCCACCAGTGTGACCCAGCTTTGATTCTGGCCTGCGTTTAGGTTGTTGTTGGTTCTCACCTTGCTCCGAGGGTTTTTCTCCCGATACTCCGATTTTGCTCGTTCCTGAAAAACCTACATTTCCAAATTCCAATTTGATCAGTATGGAGGACCTGCATGAAAACCACCTAAGGCTGATGTGGCTTCGTCTCTAGATATAGTGCCAGCTAAATGTGTACTTGAGGTGCAGTGGCTGTTTGTTGTTGTCTTGTGCTGAAGCTTTTCCTTTCGTTTTCTTCACATCAAATATATTTTACCCACCACAATTTTCTGTTAACACACTGTTCTGTTTTGTATAAATATTTAGGCTTGCAGAATGATTAAGAAGCTACAATGGTCAGGTGACCCATATGAGGAACTTACAAGAATCAAATCTGGCCTTAGAGTGGAATATGTATGTGTGTTAACTTACCACCAAAACTCTTGTTTTAACGAGAGTCATTTACAGTAATGATACATATTTTGTGGCTATTTTTGATAAAAGAAGAATAAGAAGCTCTAGAGAGGCTCAATCTCCATTACAGGCGTTTCAGTGCGTTCTACGTGAAAAACGTGCGTTAATCAGTTCAGTTCACATTGTGCATGCGTTGTTGACATGCTTGATAACCCTGGTACACGAAATCATTTGCAGAATAAATTGCTTTCACCAATAATTACACTTGGAAAGATTGTTACGTTATTGAACGTTGGGTATTTACCATTAGCAATACTTTTCTCCCAGCCTTGTTGCAAATAACATGCTACAGCTGTGAAACTGTCCTGTTTTTAATGTTTTTTTTTTTCACAGCGTTACAAGTTCACTGACTTGCTCAGTAGCATAGATAACATGAGAAGCAGAATGTTCGTCGGTGGTGGAGTCGTCTTTTTTCAACAAGTATGACGTGTTTTGAACTTTAAAACTTCTTACCTCAAAACAAACAATGAAACAAACTAACAACAGAAAAAATGGCTTGCCAAAATTCTCTCGAAGTATCTAAGGCAAATTTCAAGCCTTTTTGTTAAAAAAAGTTATAAAACTTAATTGACAGGTATAAACGGCTAAGTTCAGGAAGTTACCTGTTGTCTTTAATCCAAGACCAGGCTTCTCAGTTTTGGAGGAGACAAGAATTAATACATAAAGGAACCGATTTTGTGAGCAAGCACGCCCGTAGACTGCGAGCAGTCTTTCTTTTGTTCGAAAATCCATGGGCTGTTTTGCGTCCTTCCCCACGGATTTCCGAGCTAAAGAGAGACTCTTCGCAGTCTAGCACGCTCTTTATTTGAACCTTTTCATACACTACTTGTGAAGTTGCTTTACAGCAGTAAACGATGAGAAAAGGTAACATTTGTATCACGTTTGTAATACTGATGTTTGTCTGGTTTCTAGTTCTCGGGTCAGCCAACTGTGGTTTATTACGCATCAACGATCTTCCAAGCGCTTGGTTTTCAGAGCGGAGAAAACGCCACCTTAGCCAGTTTGGGAATTGGCATCGCTAAGGTATGCTTTGAGCCTGCAGTATTAGGCTTGAACTGGGTCTCTTGCTACTCAACTGAAATTAATCTTCTAAGTGTTCTGATTTTTGTCTTTATCCTCTCTTTCACCAGCTTGTTGCCACAGTAATATCCCTCAGTTTTGTGGACAGAGGAGGTAAACATTTTTATTGTCTTTGTAATATGAATGAGTTACAGATTACAATGCAGTTCAGACTTTGACTCTCCGCCTAACGAGGGCGTTTCAATGTTAGATACTTTTACAGGGGGACTCTGGAACAGGGGGATTCCNGGGGGGGGGGGGGGGGGGAGCGGAACAGCGGGGGATGCAAATTAACTCGAAAACAATGAAAATATATAACGAAATACTGAAACAATTGTCTGGAGAAAACTGATTAGTGGAAAGGAGAGTTCATAGCTTGGATTCCATTAAAATTTACGAGACTTCAGTGTTGCAAAATGTAATTCCTTTGAGAAATTTCCTGCACAGCAAACACCGAGACAGTTTTTTTTGTTCCCAGGTCGCCGCCGGTTTCTCCTCATTGGAGTATCCATAATGGCTGTCAGTATACTAGTATTAGGAACCATTGCTCACTATATATCGCTTGGACATCCAACAAGAGAGTGCCACTTTAATATGACCACACCACTCCAATCTTCAAATTCACCTTCAAGTCCCAGTTTACCGCATATCCTCACTACCACAGCTCCAACGCGCTCAATTATGAATTCAACGTATATTTCGCGCACTTTGCCTACAGTAAACTCTACAGTATCGTTAAACCAGACGGAATCAACAGCGATCACAGCTAACAAAGGTCTGCGTTATTTCACTCTCTGCGCTCTTGCTCTGTTTGTTGGGGCCTACTCGTTCAGTTTTGGACCAGGTAAGTCAGTCGGTGGGGGACTAAGAACCTTTTCCGGTTGGTATCCACACATCACACCACCGCGTTGAGCACCTTTTCTCGTAGCTTGAAAAACTTGCGCTAACTTATCAGATAGAAGTTAGGAAGGTTATAACCTATTTGGTTACACTTCTATATAATTCTCTAGTTTCACCAGTTCGTGCTTATATTTGTATTTTAAGTTTGCCGGACGTTTTTCGTAATTAGCATTATCTAATTTTTGTGTCTAACTGTACTTATTTTAGTAAATCCATAAATTGATTATTGCAGTGGTGAATTTGAAGTGTGGACGTTTTGTGTGTCGGTTCACTGATTCGGTGGAAAGTATAAGTCTTACTGGTATTGTTGATCTTGTGACAGGCTAGTGTTCCTATTACCTTGTTTATACCCTAAATATCATTAGCAGGCCATTGAAGAGTTTCACGAGGCTGTCTGAAAGCATTCTTGTTCAAATGTGTTTCACTCATACGGAGGCAGCGTGGCCGAGTGGTTTAGGGCGCTGGTGTTGAAATCCGGAGGTCAAGGTCTCCACCTTGCCAGTAGCGGGATTTGTTACTCGGTAGCCCCGAGTTCAAATCCTCGGTCACGTTTTGTAAATAGCGAACTGGTCTGCCCCCTGCCATTTGGGATTTTTCACTACGTTACGTTTATTTGAAATATTTGTTTCCTTTGTTTCATTGCCATGCCTGTAGACTAACTAAGCTTAGTGCTTGTATAGCAAAGTGCCTGACCACTATAAATAAGATTTAAATTTACAGTTACATTTTTACCAGCGCCTTCATTTTCGTGCAAATCAAGTCATTTTTATCTGAAAAGTTGTGCACAAGGTCTCATTTTGAAACAAAGGCAAAAGGTAATTCATTACTAACCGAGTTTTCCTCGACAGTATCTTGGTTGTTGTTAAGTGAAATATTTCCAGCTGGTATCACAGGCCGGGCATTCTCCATTGTCACTGTGCTCAACTGGGGAACCAACCTGCTGGTCTCTCTCACATTTCTGGACATGCTCAGTAAGTACAGTGGTCGTTTCGGTCAATTTCGTTCCCCGACCCCTCACCCCTACTGGCGAACGATAACCTCAGGAACGAGATCGTCTTGAAGCCTCTGATCAGTTAATGCAAAATCAAATATTCGCAAATCACGACATCACTGAAATCGTTTTAGACGAACGCTTCTATTTTTTTGCAGGCAGCATTGGAACTTCGTCCACCTTTATTTTCTACGCAGTGATATGCATTGTAGCTGTACTTTTCATTTATAAATACGTCCCTGAGACGAAAAACAGAACACTGGAACAAATATCCGCTGAGCTGAACGCCAGGTAACTAGAACGTAACCATCACCACAGGGTCTTAATCGTGATGAGAGGGGGAGGTGGGTGCTATCGAGATTAATTTCAACTGCTTGTTCATAAAGTGTCACCCTGGAGACAGTCGCATGATATTAAGGCTTAGATGGTAGAAAGTTCTACAATCCTCAGTGCCTCAGTTTCTTCAGTGCTACTCTCCCGGGTCCCCCTACAGAGACGCTTTTTTTGTACGTTTTGTGTTCATAATTCTTTGATTAAGCTTTTGGGAACATTTGTTCATTATTATGAGTATGATTCGATTAACACTGCCCATTTATTCTTATTTGTGTATTTTCCGTTTTACAATACTTGAATTTTTTTCTCTCTCTCAGAAAACCTCGACAAATCCTTCCAAAGAAACTCAATTGCTGTAAGAAGGGAGGAAGACGAAGATTAAGGGAATCGAGGCCCAGACCTTCACCGAGTGGATCTACTTCTGATATGCTCCTTGCCAATTCTGGCTGACTGCAGTTTTCCTAACCCAAGCTCTGATCGCAGGGTCTCTTTAAGCAAGACTGCTAATCTAATTTATAGTCAAAGTAGGAACGTTGAATAGCCTTGTTGTAACAGAGTAACATGACAATCTGGCGAGTACCCTCACTTTGATACAGTGTGATCCTCCTTGAATGGACTGGCCCCTGATTACATTAGAGACCTACTGCGATTTAACATTTCTGGTCGGACACTAAGATCTTCAAACAACAGGTTGCTTGATGAACCTAGAGCAAATCTTAAAACGTATGGTGAAAGGGCTTTTTCCGTGGCGGCACCAAGGCTCTGGAATAAACTACCCCTCCAGATCAGACTTTCATCATCA